CCCTGCTGCTGAATCGGGAGGCGCTTGACCTCGACGTCAACGGCCTGAGCCAAAGGCGACGCGAACACGACAGGCAAAGCCTCCCACTCCGTCAGATCCAGAATGGCGAACAGCTCCCTCTTACGATCTGGCAACACCCTGTAACGGCGAGGCCCGTACTCGCCAACTGGCCACCCAACTGCCATGGACCCGCAGATGGACCCCAAGCCCCAGTACCAGGAAACCGACCCCTTCCGCCGAAAGACCATCTCGTTCGTGATGAGGCGGCTGCAGAAGCGCCGATCCAGGAGCGAAAGCCTGTTCTCCCGAGAGGCTTCGCGGCATCGTGCGATGTCAACGTATGGCTGGAAATGTCCAGCAGCGTTGGGAGAATACCAATCAGCATCGTTGTGCGATGAAATGGCAGACAAATTCAGGGGCAACAAATCACCATGTAGAGCAGACTTCTTCATCACTGGCTTGAACGCGTTGGGCTCGAACCGACAATCTCGTGGCGCGGCGACTTCGTCTTTCACAACTGGCGTATACCTGTGCGTTGTCTGGACAACCTCGGCATCTAATACAATCGCCTGCGCCGCGTGAGAGGTACGCACACTGTTTTTGTTTTTAGCAACCCTGCCTTTGATTTTGTTGAACATGTCCTCTACTATCTGCTGACACAGAAACCGCTGACACTTAACCCGAGTGAACGTCAAAATCCCGTGGGCCGCGACCGAGGAGAGCTGCCGCGGGCGGTGCCAGACCCCTCCCCCTGGTGGCGCCCAAGCCGCCAGAGCTAGGATAAACGGGCGAGGCGGGGTGGCGGCCCGAAATGCTACAGCGCCGCCGTCGGGAGGGTTGCCGCAACCCCCCTTCCCAAGCCCCCCAGGGCCAACCCCTGCGGGATCGGACGGGGCACGTTCCGAGGGCGAGGCAAGGCGGGCACGCCACGGCGGTCCTCTCGGTCGCAGCCCACCCTTCAAGCTCGAGGCACTTGATCATCTGCTGAACGGCCGTGTGCTGAAAGAGGGACCGACCAATGAAACCCTGCGCGCCCTCGAAGACCGTCGTCTTGAGGGTCTCATAAATCTGAATGTCACTGCGGAGCTCAGCCAAAAACTGCCGGCGCGACCCCGCGTCAAGCAACAGAACTTGCCGCTTGGGATACCCGTGCGTCGTGGTCATGGCCCTCTGCACAAGCTGCAACACGAGTGCTGAAATGAGGTCGGCCATCATCTTGGCAAAATCGTTGGATGCGTCGACCCGCGGGTGCTTGGAATGGAGTTTGGCACCTGTCCAGTAGACCTCCACCCCGCAGGGGGCGAAGCCATTGCGATGGTTGAGCTGGAACACGGCCAGCTGCTCTATACGATGGATGCCCCCAGCCATCTGCTCCAGCTCGAAAGGAATCGAGGCGTCGGCGGAGCGCAGGCGGGCATTCTGTCTGGGGAACTGTTTCACAGGGAGAGGGGCGGGCGAGGAGAGGCGTCGAGATGGGGCGATAGGCACCCCTGCCAAGTTCCATCACCAACACCCTCACCACCGCCATCCTCATCCTGATCGCATCTCCCCCCTCCCCTCCTGCCCCTCCTCGCCCCCCCCCTCTCCCTATCCCCCCCCGTCCGCCTCTCCGTGTCTCGGGGGCGCCGCGACGCCCCCCCGCGCGCCCCGCCGCGTTGCCGTCGGACCTCGGTCTCGGACCTTTGACCCCGACTGCGAGTGCCCGCTCGCGTCTACTACGCCACGCCTGCGCACCCCCTCCCCTCCCCCCCCCTCGCCTCGGACCCCCCCCCAAAAAAAAAAAACTGACGCTGCCGCAAACGAGCAAACGCGATCCTGCTGTGGAACTCAGCGGTCGGGCCAATGATCTGGCAGATCAACCGCTGCTTGAAGTAACAATCGATATCTCCAAATAGACATGATGCCCGATCCAGCTGATTCTTGTAATCATTGAACTGCTCAACTGAACACTGCTTGAGCATGGGTTTGGCGCCGTCCTCTAGGTCGGCCGAGTGGAGCTGCGGCGCCACGCGCCTGTTGGTCCCCTTCAACCCGAGGCTCAGGGCGCAGACGTTATATATATATATATATATAGGATTTGAGCGAGAACTGATGGATCATCTTTTGGCTCACTTGTGTTGTAGCTTGATACTTGCCCAAAGAAATTCTCTCGCCCTTCGAGTGAAGGAGGGGGGGCGCCAGCACGCTGTCACACAGATTCCTCTCTGCGAGCTCGTCCGCGGGCGCGGGGTCCATCTTGGAGGGGGGGGGGGGGGGGGGGGGGGGGGGGGGGGGGGGGGGGGGGGGGGGGGGGGGGGGGGGGGGGGGGGGGGGGGGGGGGGGTGGGGGGGGGGGGGGGGGGGGGGGGGGGGGGGGGGGGGGGGGGGGGGGGGGGGGGGCACAACGGCGGGGTGCCCCCTGCGAGCGCCAAGCTGGGAAGGGGGGCGCCAAATCCATGCCGACCGCGCGCTTCCCACAAGGGGGAAGCGGCGAGTGCCGGTGGCCTCATCCCCCGTCGTCCTCGCTGGGTACCACGCCCACCCCCCCTGCCCTCCTCGTTCGTGCAATGCCGCCCCAGCCAAGTGGCCCCCTCCTCGGCATCAACCCCCGCCTGCCCTCGCTCGCCCCCCACCTCCTCCCTGACGCGCCCTCGGGGAAGGGAGGGGCACTGCGTTGCCGCCGCGGGGCCTGCTGTTGAAGGCGAATAAAAGGCACGTAAAGCTGCCATAAAGCATCTGTCTCCATAGTCACCCCAGCCCTATATGCTTCCATTGACTCTCGGAGCTGCTGCAGACGAGGTGGGCTCAAAGTACTTCCATAAGCACAGTTCTGTGCACAAGCCATTGTCAACTGAAATTTGTACAGACCACTGTGCCTGGAGGGTTCCCAACGTGCGCGCCCGAGGCAGGAGGCCCGAGGCCGCGTGGGAAGCCCCTGGCGGCTGGGGGCGAGCTGGGGGGGGGGGGGAACGCGGCGAATGCAACAACAGTGGTTTGCCGGAAAAGACGCCGCAAAACCTTGCAACGGGACCCAGGGGGGAAACGGAACGCGGCTTAGGCAGTGAGAGATTGTTTGCTGCCACGGCGCTTGAGTGCTAATTTAGCTGCATTGTTGAGGCCGTGGGAGATATCAAAATCGATCTGAACATTCAGCTGGGTGTCTTTTCCGTACAACATGAAATACGTCGAACATAGCATGTCTGGCCCCATATCTGGAGCCACGGATAACAAGTTCCATGAGAAGGGACATGTAGTATATTCACCAGCTTCGTTACGAGGAGGTCTGTAATCGCTGAGCTGCTTGCCCGCGGATTGCCAGAGCATGTTATTGATGCATAGTAGTGTCTGGTAGGACTTCCCGCGGCGGCGCTTCTTGGCCGGGGGGGCATCGACCTGCCTGTCCGCCAACGCGGACCCGAGGTTCCGCTTGACGACGCTCCTCCGCGAGGCGCGCAAATACGGGATAGGGGCGAGGGAGGGCGGCGCGAGCGGGGGCGTGGATCAGGGCGTGGAGCTGGCCAGGAGAAGCCCACGGGCAGAGAGAGCAGGGGGGGCGAAGGGGCCGAAACCATGCCCCGCTCGCCCGCCCAAGGCCAGTTGCATGGCCCTTCGAGGGCCCCCACCTGCCCGCCGCACCTCTGCCCAACCTCCCACCTCCTCCTCCCCCCGCCTCCCCACCGCGCCTCGACGCCCCCCTCCTCCTCCTGCCTGCCGCCAACGGCAGTCCTGAAATGCTCCTGCTGCTGCTGCCGCACCTGCTGGAGGGCCTCGCCCTCGAGGAAGCAGTCCTCCGAGATGAACTGCCTGGGCACCTGGCTGGCCCGAGCCCGCCGCCGCGGCCCCCGAGCCGCCCCCCCCCCGACCCCCCGAGGGCTCCCCCAGCGAACTGAAAAGTGGGGTGTGGGAACGGTGGCGTGTTGTGGGAGGGCGCTCCCGCTCGAGCGCGGGCGCCCCCCACACCCGGCAACACACCACCGGCACCGTTCCCGGACCCCCCCCCCCGAACCTCGCAGGGGCGCCCCTGGGAGGTTGGCGGGGCGGGCCCTGCTGCCTCGGCCCCTCGCGGGAACGACGGAGCGGGGCCCCCCCCGCCTCCCCGAGCCCCCCGCGCCCGCCGCGAGAGAGGAGCGGGGGTGGGGGGGTGGGGGGGGGGGCGGTGGCGGGGCAACCAGGACAGATGGATGGCGGGGGGAGATGGCGGGGGGCCAAAGACAGAAGGAGGGATGAGCCAACGGAAAGAGCAAACAGGTGAGGAGCCAGAGAAAGGAGCGGGAAGGCGAGGAGAGAAAGAGAGGGGGGGAGACGGCGGGAATAGCGAGAAAGAGTGATGCGAATCAGACAAAGCAACCTGGAAGAGATAGGAATGCGGATCTGAGAAATAACATGGGCAGGGGGAAAAAAAGGGGACCCATGAGATACTGATAGCACAGATGCCGACTGCAGCCCCATCAGAGCGGGAAGCAAATCAAAGGCGAGGGCTGAGGCGAAGGACGAAGAGGATGGCCGCAGGACAATCAAAAGGGCAAGGGGGGGGAGATCAGGCAGCCGCGAAACGAACTGAGACCCAATAACCCTCCACCCAAAGAAACCCACAAACCAGGAAAGGTGGATGAGCACGGCGACGCACCCGACGAATGCAATGGAGAAGCCGCAAAACGTAACAGACGTAGGAGATCGCTTGCGACGGCCAGAACAATATGGGGGACGCCACTGCCCCGAGCGCCTAAACCCGAAACGCACGAGAAAGCATGGACGCGCCAGTTCGAACGCCATCATCCTCAGTGTATGTGAGGTTGGCAATGCCAACTGACCAGCAAGCAGGGCCCCCTGGGTTCCAAGGGTAAACGCACGGTGACCTGAGTGAACATACACTGGCGGTGTAAAACGACGAAGACGACCAAACTGCATGATGGGGCCTACGGAAATGACGCGGTTTAGGTGTTATGGGAGGGCCGAGGCACGTGCACACGCCAATGACAGTGACCACACGAAGAAGCAGCAATGCTGCAAGGCGTTTCGAAAGTCAGCGGCGGAGAGTAAAACCGTTGATCGAACGAAGCGAATGCCGAGCGCCTTCCACGCGCATAACCGAAGGGGAGTTACACCGCGTAAAAGGGAAGCTGAAAGCTCCACGGGGTCAAGCAACACCAGGATGAGGGAATGAGCAAGGATGAGAAACATGGGGCGAGTGAAAAACTTGAGATGGATACGCAAGGGGCGATTCGGAGGCAGCCGTGGCGGAGGCGGAAACGCGAGGCATTGGCGAGTAGAGTTCGGGCGTGGAAGGGGGGAGGCAGACGACGACAATAAGGGAAACGAAATGGGCGAAAAGGGGGTGCATGGCAAGACCGTCGGAGGAGCGGACGGGGTAAACGCAATAGAGGGGGAGGGGGGGGCGCGCGCGAGAGGGGGGAAGAGCACGACTGAGGAGCGATGCGAATGCGCAGGCACAAAGAAGATGAGATGCAAACCTCAAGCCGACCCCCATCCTCCACTACCCTCGCCTCCGCCCCCCGCCCTTCCCCCGCCTCGCCCGCGCCGCCCCGCGCGAGTCGGCCAGCTGGCGCCTGCGGCAGGCACGCGCACACCTTGGCGGAACTCTGGTTCATCATCGCTGCCATCAACACCGAGAAGTCCGTCCCGACCTTGGTCCCGTCGGGGCCGCTCAGGGACAGGCACTGCGCACCCTGGGGAAGGGGGGCGGGGGGGGGCTCGTCTCGCCCAACGTCGCCGACGCCGATCCCGCTCGTCGCCGCCGTCGCCGTCCGCCGCCGCTCGTCGCCACGCGTCGCCATCGACGCGCTGGCGCGCTCCCTCCTTCACCGCTCCCGCCCCCGCTAAAAAACGCAGTCCTTCATCGCCTCCATGCTCGCAAGATGGTACTTGATCAACTCGCGCTCGGTCTGCCTCCACGAAGAGGAAAAAAAAAAAAGAAAGAGAAAAAAGAAAGAGTAAAAAAGAAAAAAAAAAAAAAGAAAAGAAGAAGAAAGAGTAAAAAAGTAAAAAAAAGAAAATGAAAGAAAAAGAAAAGAAAGAAGAAAAAAGAGAGAAAAAAAAAAAAAGAAAAAAAAGAAATAAAAGAAGAAAGAGAAAGAAAAAGAGAAACAAAGAGAAAAAAAGAAAAGAGAGAAGAAAAAGAAAATAAAAAAAAAAAAAAAAGAAGATGGTGAAAAAGAAAAAAGGAAAAAAAGAAAAAGAAAAAAAAAAAAAAGAAGAAAAAAAAAAAAAAAAGGAAAAAAAGAAAAGAAAGAAAGAAAAAAAGAACAAAAAAAAAAAAAAGAAGAAGAAAAAAAAAAAAAAATGAAAAGTACGAAACAGGGGAAATAATGCTGGGGGCGAACGGCCTCGACGGAACCCTCGGACACACCGCCGAACTCGACCAGAGTGAACTGCGCGTCC